CCCCAACCACCTTCTCCGCCCCCCTTCGCCGCCTCTCCCCCAAGAATCGTGCCAAAGGCACGCCGCGGGGAGGTGACGGTGGAGCAGTTGCCGCTGCCAGCGGAGCAGCAGGCTGAGCCGGCCTTTGATGAGTTCCAGGCCAACTGGGAGCAGGCCGTGGCCGACGCAAAGGCCAAGGGCCAGCCACCCAGGCTTATGAAGGTGAATGGGGCTGCAGGCGCAAGCCGCGGCAGCCGCACCCAGCGGCCTCGAGCGCCGCCCCTGGCGCAGGGGGCTGGTGGGCCGTTGGAGGGCCACCGCTGTCGGTTGGAGGTTGTGCAAGGCGGGACCGCCACGCTGCAGGGTGTAACGGGCGGCCTGCTGCACTTTGCAGTCTACAGCCTCAGCAGTAACATATATAGTGTGGCCCCAGTCCTCGAGGATCCCTGTGTGCGGCAAGCGCGTCGGCACGTACATCCTGCAGCCTGATTACGGCACTGTCCGGTCATTCCACGCACCCGCATCCACGAACATTGGCCCTCCCGCCTGGCGCGCCCCTCCCAGCCCCGCCCTTAACCACAAACCCCATTCTCCAAAGACGCATTTCACCCAACGCATGCGCTCTTCGGCGGCGCCCGGCACCCCTCCATGTCCTCGATTCACCAACCCACCCCGCACGCACCCTCCGCCCCGCGGGACTTGCATCTGCCCCGGCACACTCTCGCCCAAATTTCACCTCCCAACGCAACAACCCCGCCCTCCTTCACCCCCCCACACACAGGTCCTCATCAAGACCTACGGAGCTGAGCTGTTCAAGGCCGGCATCTACAAGCTGCTGTGGTCGGTCTTCCTGCTGCTCGGCGGTGAGCGCCCCCAGCCGGCGGTCCTCCAGCCCCAGCCCTGGCGGCGCTGCTTTCAATTCGGGGAGGGCCATGGGTCCCCGCTTCTGTGCCTACCTGCCGGTTGCCGCCCCGCGGGCCTGTCGCCACCCCCCAGTTCTCACGTGTTGTCACCCCTCAGTTCTCATATGTTGTACAACCCACCCCCTGCCGGCCCCTGCAACCTCGCCGCCCGCAGCCTACTTCTTCACGCGCAGCATCCTGCTGTGCATCCGCACCCTGGAGGGCAAGGACCAGTCGCCGTTCGACACCGAGTGGAAGGGCTGGGCCCTCACCGCCTGCTTCTTCGTCAACGCATGGCTGCTGGGTGAGCGTGCATGAGGGGGAGTGTGCCCAGCCAACTTTGCACGCAAAGCAAGCTTCGTATTGGTGGCGGCCTTGTTTGCAACATGGGAGTTTCTTCACTGTGCACACCACATGTGGCGTGCCAGCTCTCGCATCCTCTCAATTGCTGGCACAACTTCCTCTGCACACTCGCATTCACAGGCCTGATGATGCAGCGCATGTCCTACGGCTGCTTGGGCGTGGGCATCCGCGCCCGCGCAGCCCTCACCACCGCTGTTGCGCGCAAGTGAGTATGCTCGGCTGCTTGGACGCGGCGCTCGCGGAATTGTAGATGCGCTGATCCGCTGAGTTATATCTCGTCTTCGGCGACTGGCGCTGCGAATCGCACGCCCTCCGCCGGCAGTGAATGCCAGGGCGCAGCAGTGTCCACCTCGCGTGTCTGATCCCAGGATCCTGACGCATCTCTTCCATCCGCCCCCCCATCAAACCCCGCCCCATTTCCCAGGTGCTACGGCATGGCCCACCTCACCAAGGACACCGCCGCCGAGGCTGTCAGCTTTGTCGCCAACGATATCAACAAGATCTTCCAGGGCATGCAGGAGATCCACTTCCTCTGGGGCGCCCCCATCGAGGTGAGCCGCCAGAAGTTGCTCGCCGGGGGGGGGGGGG